AAGAAGAAGTACGAGAAGAAACTGAAGAAATAAAAGTAGAAATTAAGAAGAAGAAATGAGGAAGAAGTAAAAGGAAAAGAAGAAGAAGAAAAAAAAAGAAGATTATGAGACAGAAGAAAAAAAGAAGAAGAAAATGTGGAAAGAGTAGAAAAAAAGAGGAAAGGAAGAGGGAATATTACAAAGAGAGACGAAAGAATGCTGTTTTCATCAGTTTCATATTTTTCGCCGATATAAAAATAACGTCTAGCGCTCAACACTACTCAATTTATTTTACATCAGTAAATACCGCCAAACGTGTACCGTTCGCGGAGAAATGGCACACCCTGCTTGAACGACAACCACGGATTGCCCGACATTTAAGGAACATTCAAATGATACCCAAACTTTCAAACGTGAAACAGACTTCGTCAGCTGATATATTTTGTGCAAGAAAATGTTGTTGGTTGATTAACAGATCGATTGATTATTTGATTGGTTTGTTGCTTCGTTCGTTCGGTCGGCCGTACGTTCGTTTATTGGCTAGATAATAATAATAATAATAATAATAATAATAATAATAATAATGATTAGTGGGCCAATATCTGCACTGGAAAATCTGCAACTTCTACGGGAAGGAAACTGAAAGAAACAGGTATGAACACCACCCAGACGGAGATAGGACCTGTTACAATTCTATGGGACTACACAATACACACTGACAGAACAATCAAAGCCAACCGCCAAGATATTGTTATTAAAGACCACAAACAAATACGGTGCCTCCTTTTTGATATGGCAGTCCCTGCTGACTGCATTGTATCTTTGAAGATATTCAAAAAGCAGTCAAAATACAAGGACCTTGAAATAGAAATCTCGAAAATGTGGCATATGGGAACATCAACAATCCCTGTTGTAGTTGGAGCCCTAGGACTGGTTGGAAAAGATTGCAGTAGACTAATTGAAGGGATTCCTGGAAGTCCATGCCTCAAGGAGATACAAAAATTGTTCTGACAAGTACAGCCCACACTTTACAGAAATGCTTTATCTATGTAATTTTTTTTTTTTTTTTTCAGTGGAAAAGTGTCATGCTGCCATTTCTAACCTTAGGTCCCTGGGCGGGACCCGGAAAGAAATGTATAAACGCCAGAAATCAAAGATAATAATAATAATAATAATAATAATATGAAGAAGAAAAAGAAGAAGAAGAAGAAGAAGAAAAAGAAAAAAAGAAGAAAGGGGAGAGGAGGAGTAGAAGGTAAGAATGTAGTTTTTATCAGATGGTTGATTGATTGGTTGTTTAGTTGGTTCGTTTATTCATTGGTTCATTCGGCCGGTCGCTGGTTCGTTTGTAGATTCAATAATAAGAGGAAGAAGTAGAAGAAGAAAAATGAGGAAGAAGAAGAAAAAAGAGGAAAATGAGGAAGAAGTAGAAGAAACTGGGGAAGAAGAAAAAGTAGAAAAGAGGAAGAAGTTAAAGAAAAAAATATGAAGAAGCTGGTTAACTTTAACGCCTCTAAAACAAATCTGCTCTTTATTACTCACCACAGGGACCCATCCCTGCCACCCATTAGAATGTTTAATTCTCAACTCCACGAGAGTACCTCTTTGTGACTGCTTGGTCTCTGTCCGCTGATCTGAGATGGAACAATTACATTGAATCAATAGCTTCATCCACCGCAAAAAAAGTTGGTTCCCTATGTCGCGACAAAAAGATTTTCTCGCCCGAGTCCATCCTTCATGTCTATAAATCAACCATTCGCCCTTGCATGGAATACTGCGGCCATATATGGTCTGATGCCCCCGCTGTTCGTCTTAAGGTTCTCGACAAGATCCAGAGACAGATATGCAAGGTGGTTGGTCCTGATCTAGCATCTCTTCAACAGTCACTTTCTCACAGACGTTTTGTGGCTTCCCTCTGACTTTTCTGCAAATACTTTCAGGGTAAATGCTCCGACGAGCTACTTTCGCTAGTTCCCAGACTGCATGAATTTAAGCGTGCTACTAGGCTGGCATCACGGTCCCACCCTTTCAGTGTCGAAACAGTTAAATGTAGCCGTCTCTTCTACTCCAATAGCTTAATGTCTCTCACCTCCCGTCTATGGAATTCCCTTCCTATTATTTTTTTTTCCTAAGAGCTATAATCTCCACCTATTCAAATGTAATGTCAATCGACGTCTCCAGATGCCCTGACATATTCCCTGTCCTTCTCAACATCGTTTCGTACATCACGCCTCTTTACTCTCGCTTCCACTCTGTAACCCCTTGCGTGCTAGTGGCATCCCGCCTTGCTTGGGGTGAAATGCTTAAAAAAAAAAAAAAGAAGTAAATGAAGAAGAAAAACAGAGAATGAAAAAGAAGAAAAGGCGGAAGAAGTAGAAGAAAGGGGAAAGGATGAGGAGTAGGGAAGAATATTGTTTTCATCAGTTGATTGATTGATTGATTGATTGATTGGTTCAGTCGCTCGGTCGTTCGATAGTTGATTGCTACATTTGTCGATTAGTTAATAAGAGGAAATACTGCTGTCATATATGGTCTGGTGTGCCTCTGATGTTCGTTTTAAGGTCGTCGACAAGATTCAGAGACGGATATGCAATGTTGTTGATCTTGATCTGGCATCTCGTCTATAGTCGTTCGATCGGTCGTTCGATAGATGATTGCTTCATTTGCGTTCAGTTAATAAGAGGAAAATAAAGAAGAAGAAGAAGAAGAAGAAGAAGAAGAAGAAGAAGAAGAAACTGTGGAAAAAGAAAAAGTAGAAAACCAAGAAGAAGAAGCAGAAGAAAAAAAAGGAGGAAAAAGTGACAGAAAATGTTAAGGATGAGCTGAAGTATTTTGTGCAAGAAAATGTTATTGGCTGGTTGGTTAATTGTTTGATTCGTTTGTTCATTGGTTTTTTTGAATGTTTGTTAGTTCGGTTGTTGATTCGATTCCCGAGTAAACCTTTTCACGTACTGTTCAAATTTACACCCGTCTTTTACAAGCCGGATTCACTGGAACTTTAGATCTTTAGGTGGGACCAATATGTAGACAGACAGAAAAAGAGCGTTTATACGATTAGCTCAAGGGGTTATCGGCAGGGATTTTGAAATCAACGAGCCGAGTTCAAATTCCAGTCGATTCTTTCTCGTTCGTTTTTCGCTAACGCGCCTGGACAAAAAGAATGTATACATTTTCTTCCAACTATGACAGGGTAGACTAAGATCTCTTGCCTTGCGTAGTAAACAGTCTAGGAAAAAGTGCACCCTGTATTATTTTTAGGAGGTTTAAGAATCTCCTGAATCTTTGATATTATTCCATCATCATCTTGCGGCCTCAGCCGAGATTGAACTCACCAATACTTTGATTGGTGTAGTTCATAATCTTTTCAAGTAGCTGAATTCTTGATGCTTCGCTAGGGCTATCAAGGGTGTTTTTATCGTGACACCATCACTAAATGGATTGCCAACCAAGGCTGAGAGAGACTCCATTCACCCTCCTCTAAGAGCAGGTTTGAATTCAGAGTTGTCCTTCTCCTAGACCAGCTGCCATCCAAGGCTATAGAACCCAGTCTGTCTTGCTATTTACCCATAGCTGGAGGGAGAAGAGGATTCACACCAAGGGTATTAGCACGTAAGTGAATGTAATGGATTCGACTGGAATTCGAACTCGGCTCTCCGATTCCTCAATCCAAGCCGCTATCCACTACTCCACCGTGCCTCCTTCCATAGCGTCCAAGCTCCCAGACAATAAAACGTTGCTGACCGTTGAGGTAATTTGCGGAAATAAAAACTGTATCCGATGTCTTTGTTGTATTCGACGCCACTGTAACCCAACTGTTCATTTCGAAAATGTTTGGGTCCTCAAAACTTTCCAGTCTTTCGCCGAACATTTCAGACATTTCCCAATTCTCTTCATCAGAAAAAAAGAAAATGTTCTAGCGATTGTTTTCTCTAAGGCTTACAATCCCCCAAATTCCACAGCAAATCAGATATCAGATACGCTCAAGAGGGAGCTGAAAATTCTCGGTACGTCCCATCGATCAAAATCTAATCAATTTAACCAAATAATCGATTTTTTTGTGGAGAATAGAGAACTTCTTTTTTCCGGCCTTCTTCAGGTGGTTGGAATGTCGAACTGAAGCCTTTATTTCGCTTACTGGGGTAGACTGTTCTAGATCCAAGTGCCATGTCTAAAGGATGTCAGTTATCTCCTGTCAATTCCCCTCTCCAATTTCTCCACTGCTTTAACCAGGTATTGAACTCACACTCTTTGGGTCCTGTCACTGGATCTAACTAACGCCTTTATCCACTGTTCCATGTGTCTTCTTAATAATATGTGGAAATATCTACACTTTGCCTGAAGAAGGTCGTGATACCGGAAACTCGTGTAGCAAAATTATGGAAAATAAAACATATTAAAAAAAAAAATCCACATTACAACCAATTGCGGTTTCTCTCTCTTTTTTATATATATATATATATATATATATATATATATATATTATAAATGGTCAAAGTCCGACAATTTATTTATTAGAGACATTTTTTTATGTTTAACGTTGTATCTATAAAAAAGAACGTTAAACATAAAAAAATGTCTTTAATATATATATATATATATATATATATATATATATATTTGTGTGTGTCTGTGCATGTATGTAGTGCAACGTTAGTTTTTTTGCATCTTGCTAAAAGAGAACGTGCATACGCATAACTAAAAATGTTTCGGTGGCTGAACGCTCGAAATAATCGTTCTACGCTTCGATAGCTCCGATCGTCAGAAGCTTTTAAGCTTTAAGCGTCAGACGATTGTTTCTCCCATTATACGATATGTGAATCTGTGTTCAATGCAAAATTCAGATAGAAAAAGTAAAACGAAGAAGAAAAAGAAATTTAAAAGGAAATAACTTATCAGAAGAAAGAAAGAAAGAAAGAAAAAAGAAAGAAAGAAAGAAACAAACAAACAAACAAAGATGAAAAGCGGTGGGGAAAGTTAAACATTTAGAGAGAAAGGCAAGGCAGCACGGGAAAGAAATTAACTCGTCGGAAGAAAGAAAGAAAGAAAGAAAGAAAGAAAGAAAGAAGGAAAGAAAGGGACAGGAGAATTAGAAAGAAAGAAACAAAGAAACAAAGAAACAAAGAAAGAAACAAAGAAAGAAAAGGTAAAGATAAAAGGTAAGAAAGAAAGAAAAAGAAAGAAAGAATGACAGAAGGAAAGAAAGAAAGAAAATGAGAAGGAAAATAAAATTAAAATATTGAGAGAAAGGCAAAAGCTAGAAAAAAAGAATAAAGAAATTAATTCGACGGAACAAAATAAAGAAAGAAAGAAAGAAAGAAGGAAAGAAAGAATGAAAGAAAGAAAGAGAAGGAGGAGGAAAGTAAGAGGAAGGCAAAAGCAAAAGGGAAAGAAGCAAGAAATTAACTCGACGAAACAAAGAGAGAAAGAAAGAAAGACGATTACAGAAGTAAAAGCAATAGAAAGAAGATTGAAAAAAGAAAGAATGAAATGGTAAAACGAAGAAGAAAGAGAACTTAAAGAGAAATGAACTAATCAGAAGGAAGTAAGGAAGAAAGGAAGGAAGGAAAAAGAAAAATCATTGGTAAAAACAGAAAGGTGAACTCAACCAGAGTAGGAAGAATAACAAAGAGAAAAACAGACAAAGCAAACTGAACAATTCATAAAGAAAGAAAGAGACAAATTAAGTCAAGAAATGCACTTGAGCTCATGAGATAAAGAATGAAAAAGAAGTCAAAGAAGAGAGAGTCTGATGTGAATAAATAAATGGGGTTTCATTAAGACGGATTATATATAATGGTGTTTCATTAAGACGGATTAAAGTCAGCGGATTATATATAATGGTGTTTCATTAAGACGGAAAATAAATCAGTGTTATTGGTGAAAATTTCTTTATTTCCCTATTGGGTCATGTTATTTAAGTCATGACAATTATGTGTAAAAAATAATATCGTCCAAATGTCCGCCAAATCTGAATAAAAAAGAAATTCGACGTTTAGAATTAATTGACACTGAAAATGAGTCCAAGTTATTGGAACACCCTTTATAAAAAGACCAATTTATTATTTGTAGCCGAATGTAGGTGGCTTATATGTGGTGAAGGGAAAAAGAGTTAAAAGAAAAGAAAAAAAAAACAATGGAAGTTATAATTCGAAGCCAAAACGTTTGCCTTCTTCAAACTGTGCTAAATGAAGCCCCCTACCTCACCTTGTCGTTGTCCTACTGCAGGAGCAGTCCTGTCTGTCTCACCACGATTCTTATTTTTCAAAGTCTTGCCTTTCATTAGAAACATTTGCCGAAACAAGAACTGAGGGTTAGAACATAATGGGATCTAATTCATGTCATCTGCCGTGGGTGACTTTGAAGCGCTTCTTGTTTTTTTTGTTTCTTTTGTTTCTTTTTTTTTTATCGTATCTCAGTAAAGAATAAACCAAATATAGACGACTTGTAGACCTCTGACTTCGTTTTATCCAAGAACTAGTTCGTACTTTGCACAATTCCTTAAGGGAACATCTTCCTTTTGATGTCCCTAAGGTATTTTTCAAGTATGCGAATGTACTATATAAACATTTATCTTTTAATCGCTAAAACCATAAACACTTTTATTGATTGATTGATTGGTTTGTGTTTACGGCTTTTCAACCTTCTGAGGTTATTTAAAGCCAGAAAAATATTTCTAGGTTGTAAGAATTCAGTTTTTAGATAAAAATGATTTTTACTGATACAAGTTCTATTAATTAACCCATAGGTTGGGGGATTAAAAGTGTATTCATATCTTTCGCAAAAGTGCAGAATCGAATATAACGAAACGGAGTGGAATTGAATCACAGATTTCCATTTCCGAGGCTTTATCTACTACGCATATCTAAGATTACATCACTGACCAGGTTCAACGTTGCTTAACTTCGCTGATCGTACGGGCACTGCATAAACACTTTTATTAGCACGTATTTCTTTTTAAAGGCTCCACTTTTAAAAAAATCTGAGTTCCGTGGTCTCATTTAAGCCTTTTCCTTGGCGTAACGCATCTCAAATGTACCAGATCCAATACGAAATCTCACCCCGAACTATCACCAGTTACGATCAATGGATGTCTTCTCTGGGAGTCCCCGTGCTTTGAGCATCTATTTGGCTTTACACTCACCCCAGACCTCAAGTGGAACTCGTACATACGACTCATCGCTAAGGATGCAGGAAAAATGGTAAGTTCTTTGTACCACTCAAGTAAGTACCTGACTACTTGTGCTCTCCTCTAACTTTACAAGGACCAGATGAGGCCTAAAATGGAGTACATCTGTCATGCTTGGGCAGGAGCTCTCCAATATTCACTTTCCAGTCTCAGTATACTCCAAAAGCGTCTCTGCGTCCTTGTGGGTCACAAATTCTTGTCCACGCTGCAAGCCGTTCTCTCACAAACGGGATGTGGCAAGTCTCTTACTGCTCTATTGCTGCTTCCATGGAAAGTGCTCGGACGAATTACATTCCTTGGCTCCTTACCAGTTAGGGCTAGGATCCGCTATACCACACACTTTGTAGCAAACCAACCTTATTCCCTCCGAATTCTTTTGGTGAGAAGTTCACTCAAGCAGCTTCCTACCGTGAACCGTGGAACTGCTCTGTGGAACCGACACCTACGACGATGTTTCCCCGATTACAACAATCTTAACCTGTTCAAGTCGAGCATTAACCGTTATCTTCCATACCTATCCGCATAAAAATGTGCTTTATAACCCTCTACCGCGTGTGGACCCTAGGCCTTGTTCAGGTTGAACCTCACTGTTAAATAAAATATAAGTTAGGTGAATTTGACGCATAGAATTTTTTTGGTGGAGGTCGATAAGTGAATTACTAAAAGTATAACAAATTTTATTTATTTGCATTATTTTATTACACCGGTTGACATCTTTTTTTTATCCAAATATTGTTGGGCAATGGACACATTTCTGGGGCATTTCTTCACGCTGAATCTGAAAAATCAAGTCCATTTTGCCCCATCACATCGCGTTTTCTTAGTACAGATAATTTCTATTTTGCTTAAAATAGGCCTAAATGCCTAATTCACAGGCATATGCCACGGCTTAAATATGTGAGTGAGATAGTTGAAACATTTCGTTTCATGTTAAAATGATTTATCATTCAAGAAAAAAGTATTCAAATAACTTTCAAAAAAGTATTCTAAGCTATTTCCATTCAGATAAACTGACCTGAAAATGCTTGATTTTATGAGGGATACCTTACTGGAAAATTTTCCCTCAGTGTCCTCAATGTTCTTAACTTAAACTTTTGTGATTTGTGATTCTTCTCTGCTTTTCGTAGAAGCTCTTTCGAAGTCATTCTAGAACAGCAATTTTAGTTTTTATCACTAGCTTTCACTTTAAGACTGAAACTGTCATAAGTTCTTCTAGAGGGATAGTGGAAAGGCTTCACAGGTCCTTTAAACTACTCGGGGGCAACATTAGTATCAAGATTCACTTTCTGTTTAGTCACCTCGATCAGTTTCTTAATAATCTTAGTGATTATCGTGATGAATAGGGAAAGAGGTTTCATCAGGATCTCAAGGTAATTGGGTAAAGATACAAAGGCAGATGGAATGTTAATATGATGGCTGATTTCTGCTGGAGCATCAAAAGAGATCAACCTTTTCAAAAGCACCGTAGAGTTTCCAAGAAGAGAAGATTTATACCTTCGGATGGACAAAAATGAATGGATTTTTCATTCCTTTGGATCTTTGTCTGTTTTGATTTAAAAATTGATGACACATGTTCGCCTTAATTTAATTTTGTGTGAGATTTTTTTCTGAACTGAAAATGCTGAAAATGCATTCTTTAAGTTATTGGGATACTTTTACTTTTATAAGTTACTAGCAGTAGAGCCCGGCGTTGCCCGGGGATGTAACAGTAAGAGATAGATCAAGTATCAACCATCATAAAGACTGAAAAATAAAATTGACAAAGATTATTGTTTAAGGTTGACGGACACGCATGTCTTAATTAGTTTTTTTTTTTTTTACGAATTGGTCAAACCCAAACTCAAACAAAAACATTGTTTTCAATCGTTGTGTCTAACGATCGAATAGAATATTATTATAAACAATTGTCTGGTAAATGGAATTTTAAAGCATTCTCAATGTAAAAATAAAGAAAAAGTGTGCAAGACAATAAGAAACACTACCTGCCAAAAAAAAAAAAGGAAGTTTTGTTGAAATCGGTTGAAAAAATGTAGGAAATCCGATCCCATATATAAACGAACACAGACACACACACAAAACAACCTGGGTTTTATAATAAGTATAACTCGATATGAATTGTCTCCCTTTCATTCTGGTGACAGAATCGCGTTTTATCGTGTTTTCAAATTGATTTCGTGCTTTTCCAATTTTTGTCGCTGTCAGAACTACCGCAAGATAATTTTACGTAGTCTTGTGAAGTTTTGTTGAAATCGGTTGAAAAATGTAGGAAATCCGATCCAATATATAAAAGTACAGACACACACACACACACAATCTGCGTTTTATAATAAGTAAGATTCTGACCTGAAAACGTTTAAGATTGCTTCTACTTCGTCCTGACATATCACTGTTAAATGGGTATTTTAAGAAAAGTAGAAATTATCTGTACTGAGAAAATGTGATGTGATGGAGCAAAATGAATTTGATTTTCAGATTCAGCCCGGAAACATGTGCCCATTACCTAACAACATTTGAGTCGAAAATATGTCGACCGGTGTTATTGTCTTATTCTTTTCCTGCTGTCATCACAGCATTTTGGTCTGTCTGCTCTCCAGCCATCTTGCTTGTCATTCCGATTAAGGATATGCGGATAGGTAGTGTAACAGTTAACGATTCGAAAAGTGAAATCGGCGTGTCGAGTTCAAATCTCAGCTGAGTTTGTAATTTTCACCTTTATGCAAAAACTCTTAGAAATGGTATGAATCTTTTCTTAATCACCCCCTCCCAACAGCTAATGGTAAAATAACATGGTTCCTGACAATAGGTCTTTGGCAGGTTGTTAATATAAAGCAGAAAGAGAGTAAGGTGAATGAAGCATTGAATGTGTATGCTCCCTAAACAATTCTCGTGATATCACGTGTTACCTTAACAACGAGATTATAATAATGAACGTCGAAATCTTATCCAGGAAATATAGAGATTTGATAATGTCTTTAGCGTTTAAGCAATAGAAGCGGGCTGTGGAATTACTTATCTTGAACATGGTCGACAGGTTTTGGCATGTTGATCTTTTCCACAAGATCAAGGGCTATGGTGTCTCAGGGTGAAGATTCGGCTTAATCCAACCGTTCCTTAAAGAATTGTGTAATTATGATCAGGTTGAATGGACAGAATCCAAGCACATTTTACGTAAATGCGCCCTCAGAGCTCTATCCTTGCACTTACTTTTTTCAACGACATTCCTCAGTTTTCACGGTTCACATTACTCTCCGGTCTTTTGAAAAAGAGTAGAGATTTATCCCCTGTTTCCTGTTAAGATTGAGTTTCCGGTTCCGTCTAAAGTCTTTTCTTTCTCTTTTAAAGTTTAAAGTCTTTTCTTTCTCTTTTGCTTACAGTAGTTCCTTGCATCTTAGTGACTTTATCACCTTACTTGAAGTGAATTTATTAAAAAAAAAAGGAACGTATCTATGCTGATGGCACAACTATTCACTTCTGTCTTGGTAGAATGTCGGACAGGTTCGACGAACTAAAACTGGAAACTGCTCTTGTAAAGGACGTCTTGTCTTGTCAATGGTTAACAGGGGCAAGGAATGGCTTGTAAATTTTAAAGCCACCCAAACAAAATTGCTTTTTATTTTATCACAGTAGAGAAACTTTTCTACATGTGAAGAAAGCAAACCTTTGCGCCTTCTTGGGTTTGCGTTTTAACTGACAGTAAGCGGAGAGATTACACCCTTGTGCAAATTAATTGAAACAACCGATATAGTTTCCTTTCTTTCACCATACGGTCAGTTTTAAACCCACTGGAGTGACAGAGTGTAATTCATTTCTATTTTTTTCCTCATATTAGGTCATTTACTGTGGTGTGCAGTAATATGAAACTATTTTTGAGGTCTATGATGAAATTTGTTTCGCCTTGAAAAATATTGCGTCACCTGTAATTGTATCATGTTTTATCACGCCCAGACACTATTGTCTCGATTGTCGATTAGTTTTCCTTCGGCCATTATCTGCCATGGATGTTACTCCAAGGAAGCGTACGAACACACTGGCAAGCCTTACAGAGAGGTCGCAGACTGTATAAAGAGAGATGTTCGTGACAGCTATTATAGACGTGTGCTACC